TGAGTTAATTGTAGCAGGGGTTTCCTGTGGCCTAAAATGTATTTCAAGGATTCCTCTGGGGTAAAGGTTGATAAAGGCTGATGTAGCATAAAGGGATACATGCTGCCATAGCAGTCCTCTAATGTCACAGTCCATACCTGCCAATGTGAAGGGACTGCAATACCTCAACTTGTTTTCAGCATTCTTCATCTGGTGTTGAAGTAGAGCGCCACTTTTGCATAAAAATCTTTTTTTTAAATGAATTATTGCATTCCAAATCCATTTATTTAATCTTTGGAAGAATCATCGCAGAGCCTATTCTTCTCATACCGAGGCGGGACTTTGCACCGATTTCCTCAAACTCGACGGACCGTTGAGTGGGATTGGCTAAATTTTAATGTTAAAATGAGTTCCTGGTTTGGGCTCTTCTAGACGGACCAAAAATTCGACAGATTTCCATAACCTATAATCAGGTTTTAGGACTTGTCTTAATCGTGAAATCGGCAACTCTGCATTTCCAAATGAATCATTTTCCAAGCAAGCCAAAAACAAGCTCGATGTAGCCACCTATGTGAAGAGTCAATGCAAACCACCGCCAAGATCTTCACACTGGAAGAATAAAGGCCAAATCCCATTCGCACCGCCACGGTCTCAAAACCACAAGGTATATGTGGTGCCCAGGTGACCACGCGGATGGCGCCGTGCAAAACACTAATAGTAAATAAAAGTAAATCACCGGCACACACTTGAAGGGTTTTTTAAAGTATTGATATGTTTATTCAATACCCAATGTCACATACTGTCATACGGTGTCACAGACCGTCACTGTCGCTCTGATGAAGGATCCCTGTGCGGACCCAAAACGTTAGCACTGTATGACAGTATGTGACATTGGGTATTGAATAAACATATCAATACTTTAAAAAACCCTTCAAGTGTGTGCCGGTGATTTACTTTTATTCACACTGGAAGAATGACACCTCCATATGCTGCATTCTCCATAACGCAGGATAAGTGAAACATCCAAGAGGAAGGGTAATAAACCCCTCGTAATGGCCAGGGAAGGAGGACACGCGTAGGCAAGTCAGCCTGCCATCATCCATCCCAGTTTGCATGGAGTGACCCTTTAAGCCCTTCCTGCTTCGTCAATGGTTGAAGATTGAGTAGTTTTGTGTTATCCTTTTTATTCGGCTAAATGGATCTGTAAACCTAAAAAAAAATGATTTGCCGCGGCTCAGTTTGGCTACATTCAGAACCTTGGGCTGATGTACAAAAAGAATTATTGGATGACTTTATTTATTTAGAAATCACGACTTGCGATGGGTTTTCCGATATCTTGTTCTGGCTCCAGATGGAGGTTTATGTCGGAGGAATATATCGGGGCTGGCGGTGAGGCAGAACCAGGATCCGTCCCTTCAGTCACGTGGTGCATGCCTCGGCATTGCCTGGGAACTTTGGGTTGGCCCAATTTTTAGCTTTTCACACGTCTACAATATAACTACATTACGGAGAGTCAATATTTCATGAAATGTTCGTTGGTGGCTTTGAGAGGAGAAAAGTGAATATATTTTAAGATTGATGTAACAATCCATTTCTGAGGGGGGATTGAGGTATTTTGTAGGAACCAATGGAAAGTGTAGACATTTGGGGCAACCAAATAGAACTCCTCTTGCATCATCCTGGCGACTCTGTAGTGCTAAACGTTTTAACTGTGGTTGCTATAGCTTGCAGCAGTTTTCACCTCGCAAGGGTTAGTTTTTAGAATGCCCGAAATGATTCTGTAAGCTTTGCTTATTCTTTCGCCTCCTTTCTGGTTTCTGAAAGGCGCTGCATCAGATCATGTCTGTGGAGGTTCTCATTCATCCAGGTCAGGGTATATCTGTAAAAAAATAGGTCAAGGCAACTGGACTCGCTGTATTTTTCTGGAAGAAGAGGCCATTTATGTAAAGATGGAGAAGCCAAGCTTGAATAGAGGTGGGGGGGGGGGGGAATAATTTTTTGTGAAAGTCATTCTGAATTGAGAAAGCCGGTCGGATGTCCAGTGAAACGTCTTCAGAAAAAATACAGCAAGTCCAGTTGCCTTGACTTAGATCACGTGTGGCCGGCAACTGCTATATATGACTGTGACCACGAGTAAAGGTGCCCATACACTGCACGATTCTCGTACGAGAATCGCGGGAAATCCCGCGATCGTACGAGAATCGTGCAGTGTGAATGAAGACGTGCGACCGTTTCTACTGTACGGTCGCACGTCTTTTGTCTAAGGAGCACGCTAGAAAACCCGCCGGGAATCGTACGATTTTCGGCTGGTGTGAATGATGCCTGGGAGACAAATGCCGAACGGGCCTGTGTGCGCACGAGCACACTGCCCGTTCAGCATTGCGGTCATCGGAAGCCCGCCCCTTAAACACATTCCTTAATGGGGGGCACTGACTTTCACTGTAAACAAGCGGCCAGCAGGCTTTCTACAAGTTGTGCTGAAGGCTACGGAAGTGACAGTTGGCACTCCCATTAAGATCTGTGCTTACCATTCCCAAACTGCAGCTGAAGGGCGCTTTAAAAGCCTTCAAGGAACCTTCTGGAAGCTCTGTAAAAGCTCGCTGTCCACACTGCTCCTCTACAAGCTGAACTAGGCCTTCAAGGTCCCCTCCGGTCCGGTCTGATCCTGTTGTATACAAATAAGAGTTGGCTGTAGCTTTGCTACATTTTTTTGGCAGGATTAGGATCTGTGCGCCCAAAATAGAGCTGGAGAGTGATTTATAAGCTGCTTGAAGCTTCTTAAAGACTTGCTGCTGCCCCTCGAGCTAAGATTGAATGAGACTCGTGCTTAGGGCTGGGCACACATTTTACAATCCGATGATACAACCTTGTTTAGATTGACCAGGAAGGTAATACGAGGACCTTCCACTCCTTTCATGTCCAGTCATAGCTGGTGGTGATCCTAAAGGAGATTGTACATGGCCAGCTATGAGACCTGTTCATGCCATAGCGTTGGCACGCTGGCGCACTGCGTTGCCCTTCACGGTGTAAATTTTCAGCGCTATCTGAATACTTGTAATAATAATAAATAATAGTTCACTCATTATTGATCACCGCAAAGCATGGTACTGCATTACCGCGGGCTATGCCCTCTGGGAGGTGTATTGAGATGGCAAGACTGCACCTAGCGCACATTGAGAGACCTAAACATACAAATCCTGCGTGTTTAGTACAACGCTGTAGTGTGAACAGGCCCTCCGTGTCCGTGCGCTTTTCTGAATGTGCAATCGCCGTCTATTGTCCGTGTCCTTCTTATACCGCCCTGCAAAATTCCCATCCGAGCCGTTTTTTATTTTATTTTTGTCCTCGTCGTCCACCAATCACAATATTTAGGACCCTCCTACCTGCGATTTTGTCCAGGACGGCCCGGGGACGCGCTACGTTCCTTCCACGGTATGAAGACGCTTGTTTTATTTTCGAATGTCTGTAACTATATCTAAAAAAAACAAACAAAAATCCTAAAAAGAAAAGTCAAGTGCCTTCACCGCTCGAGGCTCGAAAATACAACAACAAAAAAAAGACAAAAACCTTTTACGAAGTGATTCCTCACATCCTATGCAAGTGTTTTGTACAACCTGCATAACCAGAACTTTGTAAAACTTGTTTAACACTCGGACCTGTACATAGTGTTTCTAAAGAATAGTATTTTTATTTAGGTACTTCAGACTTGAATTTGTGTCCTGTGTCGGTACTTGTATAATGCCTAATCTCTCTCCCTCTCTCTCTCTCCCTTCTCCCCCC